TGGGAGCAAGTACGTAGGAAGGTCAGTCATGTCAGTCCATGTAGGTGAAACAGGCACTGGTGGTGGAGCAGGGGATGTACAGAGAGCAAGAGAACAGCCATCTTGGGTGGCCTGATCATACACCCAGTTAACCTGAAAATTCAATTAAACAGCCTCCTCCAACTGCAAACGCAACGTTTCATTGAAGTCTAACTATGCGCGCTCTCGGAAAGGCCAAACTAGATGAAACTGACATTTTGAGAGCCATATTTTGCATTGAAACAGAAATTGAAATAGGAATGCATTTTTGCTTGGTTGTTTTGATAACATTTCACTGACAGGAAGTTTGGGGAGAAGGATTTAAGGGGGCAAACAAATATCCAGTTTTTGGTTTATTATCAGTGAACACTTTTCCCCCTGTTGCCTTATTTACAAAGGAAATATATTTTTGCTTCAGAATTTCATCAGTGCTTTTTCTCTTGCTTCTCTAGAAGCTCTCTGGATATTTAAGGGTTGCAGTCACTGAGAGTAGTGTTGACTTCTGCATTGGAGGGTTTTTCTTTCACTTTATCCCAGAATTAATGAGGACAGCAAACAGCTGTGCAGACAAACCCATTCTGCTTGGTGACGCACTCCTGCTAGAACAATTGGCAGATCTGTCTTGCAGAGGATTGCAGTGGAATGGGAAAAAGCTTTTAGGAGAGTGGGTCCTAGTTATTTGAAGCCAGTTTCCTCCATTTTTCTCCTGGTATTTAGCATCTTGCTTCATATTTTTTTTTCCTCCACTCTCATTAGGTGGGCAGCCTCTCTTTGCCATGTGTATGTTTCCACATAGCTCTACTTCTCTTTCAATTTCAACATTTTTATTCCTGATACTGAAAACTTTGCCCAAACTACTCTTGGGTGAGTGTCTGGGGGCGTATTCCATAAGAAGGCTACAGCTTGATTCGATCTCCAGATAAAATTACAACCGGAAGACAGTGAAGTGAATAAAAGGAGACAAAAGGTGCTGAGTGACAAAGGCAATCTTGTTACAGAAGTGTTATCCTAGTCTGTGAGCCTGGATGCAGAGCACGTGCCTGTGCTAAGATGTGTGTGGGACCGTCTTGTCTTTGATTTTGTTACCATGCCTTGAATGCAACTGCCTGCTAGAAATCCTGTGTTCCTCCTGGAACATGTTAACCTGTGTTCTAGGCCTAGGTGTGTAAGAAACATACTTTCGAGTGTCCAGAAATCCAGGTTTGTTTGTTTGCTTATTTTTTAATGTCCTTATTAGAAAGGAAAGGAAACTTCCATTTGCTTCTAAGAAAAAAAAAAGTCCCTTTCCCCAAATGCCTTTGGAGAGCTAACAATTCTAGGAACAACACTTGTGAAGGTTATCTCCCCACTCCCTGTAACTCCCTTGGAGCCTCTCATCAAATCCTCTTCACATAACAGATCTTCAGTGCTGTCGTATCTTCTTTAAGTCATTCTTTTCAGGGCGAAACATCTCTAGGGTGTTAACTGCTGTCCAGACGTTTTATCATCTTGACCACTCTTGTCTGTAGACACTCCAACTAGTCTGGTCTGTATTAGAAAACAACATGAAAAATGGACAGGGTTCAGGTGATAGAATTGTACATCCACACTGTTCTCGATGTGGTCTAACCAGTGCAGAGTGGGCCAGGGCTAAAGAATCCCTTTCTGAAACCTTCTCATATTATTGTTTCTAGGAGAAGCATCTGCCTCTAAATACCAAAGTAATCCAGGCAGTACCTAAGACTTGATATTTCTGCTGGGATTCACCAAGAACCACATCACATCAAGTTTATTCAAAATCCAAACCGTGGTTTCTAAATTGACACCACATTTGGTTCCTCCTCTTGACTTTGCTGTTTCTCAGAGGGAGGCCCAAATTCTTCCATGCATCTCTAACTTCTTTTTCTCCACCATCTTCTTCCAAATCATTACCGTTTCTTCTCCTCGGGGCATCCTGTTCATGGCCCCAATTCCTTTCCCAACTGCAATCCACCTTTCAGCCGATACTGGGAATTTGCGGTCACATTGACGAGAGGGTTGCTTCAAAACAGTTGGCTCTTTGGCATTGCTAATCTGCGTCTTCCTAAAACAGAGCTGCAAGAGGGAAAAGGTACATGTGATGAAGATGGAGAACAAAATTATCCATCTTCTTAAAGAGCGAACCTAATGTTGAAAGGGCCACAAGAGGAACACATTCTCAGAGTAATCACCTACAAATAGTTAAAACAAAGGTTTCTCGAGCCACCACTGCACCTAGAGGAGGGAGGCAGAGGTTCTGATTGAGAACTTTGATTTCCCACAGATTGTTTGAGTCTTAAATGACATGTGGAAAGGTTCCCTGATATCAAAGGCAGCTCCTTTTGGATAATCGATTGAGTATGTTGTGCCTGGCCTTCCCTGACTGCCCTCCGCCCCACGACTGGGAACATATGTCAGATTCTTCCTTTGCCAGTAATTTGGAGGCTCATGATAATCAAACATCCTTTTTTTCTGTAAAGAAAAGGGTGGTCCTGGGAAATGTTAAGGCAGCAGAGAAGAGGAATGATTGACTCCTCCCTGAAAAAAATATATGGAGCCTGATCAACCCCTGAGTATCATCAGCATGATTTGAAAACAGCACATTGAAGGGAACAGACCCAACCTCTCTCCTGTTCACATTTACATCCGGAACAGCTGCTGGGGTCTCTCAGAGTTGATTTTGTTCAGTTCTGCAGGGCTGACTTGAAACCCAGGCAGAAAATGAAAGTGAGCAAATTTACCTCTGGCATTCAAAGAAATGCTTTTGGTCAAAGTGAGTATTTCTGACCATGACTCATTTTCAAAAGAAGCATTGAATTCGCTTTGTCATCTTTGCCTGGATCGGGCTCAGTCGGCCCTTTTATGGTTTTTAAAATATCCTCTATAGCCGGGATGATATTTATTATCAGCATTGCATTTTAATATATAAAAGTCACTGTTCAATTGAATGTTGAGTTTCCTAAGGAAGTAAACCTACAGAAAAGAAATTTGCAAGAATCTAAAATAAATGAGTTTGAGGATGATCAAACTGCCCTTTTGGCTGTTTCAAAGATCAAAAGATCTCTCTTCTGTAGAAATCAGGAGCAGCCTGAATAGCCTCTTTCCTCTACTGCAAAGTCCCGTTTTTCCACTATCATTGATAGCTTGGGACTGCGCCATAATGGTATGAAAGGACCTGGGGAGGAAGGAAGACGGTTTCATCCCCCCTAAAGCACCCAGGACTTTTGTGTCTGAAGTAGATTTTTCACTTAGTTTAGTCTTGAGCCCAGCAGAATGAGAAAATGAGAATCTGTTCTCAGCTCCTTCAGGAAGAGGGGTGGCCCTGAAGGACACGAGAGGGTCTCTGATAATTGGTTTTCTAGCCCGTGAGTATCTCTGTCTCTGTCTCCCAGAGAGGCTGGGTAATACTGGATTACATATAAAGACGTTATCTCTGGGTTCACACTACCCCTCGCTCTGCAAACCTTAGGACATCACCTAATATCCCTATTGCTTCATGTGTAAAGTGGGGATAAGAATATGTACCTCATTGGTTTAAGCTCCTTCCTACCTCAGGGCCTTTGCTGGTGCTGCTTCTTATAGCTGGCTAACTCATGCTCAGCCCCCAGGATTCAGCCCTTTCTTCTGGGAAGCATTCCACGAAGCCCCAGACTGAGTTTTGCCAACTCTTCTTCTCCAATCAGACAGTGTGCTATGGTTTCCCTTTGTAGCAGTGCCTCAGTTGTAACTGAGAACATTCTGTGTGAGTACTGGTGTCATGTCCATCTCCTTCTATAAGGGGTTATGAAACCTAGCGTATTCACCCATGTCTATAATTAAAACAGAAACACAAAGTGTTTGTTGAGTGAATGAAATGAATGGAGATAAAATGATCCCGAAGTGGCAATTTCTATTATTTCCCTGTACCGTGAACTCCTGCAGGCCAGGGTGAGCCTTGCCTCTGCACAAGTGTTGGGGTGGAGCCTTACCAGAGTAGCTGTTCCAGGAATGTCTGTGGATGTGTAGACACCATCAATCACCATCTCTCCATCCAGCTGCCTCCTTCACCTGCCTTCTTCTTTGTCTTCTCTCTGAGAGCATGTTATCGACTTTCTGGAACTCTTGTTCATCCACTTATGATGCAGGTTTTCTCTTTCTTGGGAGAATTCTGATTTCACAGAGTGCTCAGTAGGAGAGGTCTGCAATGAGAGGCCAGAAAATGACCGTGGTGTTTCCAGCCCTGGTTAGAGGTTGAGTGGGGGTTGGGAGGAGTTGGAGAGGTCAGCCCAGTGAGCCTTACAAGTTAAACAAGCTCTCATGCTTTTAAACCTCACCACCACCATTATCATCTCCATCGTTTTACCAACCGACAACTTCTTTACCATTAAAAAAACCTTTGCCTCCTTGTCCAGGAAAAAAAAAATCCTATCAACACTATAAGCCATTTATGGTTGGAAATACACCGTTGGAATCTTTCTTCTTTAGTGAAGGCAAGTACCCATAAGAAGTTACTTTATTAGTTATTAACTACTTATTGTGAATTAGTTTATCAACTCGTTTAATCTGTGAAGATGGTGGAGGGGGCGAGCATTAAAGCACTTGGTTGGTTATATAGACAGAAAGTGTCTCTGTCAGAGTTTAACTGTAGATAACAGAATTCAGTCTACTATTTTTAGCAGAAATGGACTTCATGCAAGGAACAGGGAGTTTACAAAAATCCCTAAAAGGGCTGGAGGAAGAGGCTTTCGGCAGAACTTCCAGGAGTCACACCCCAGAACACCACCTTAGAACTAGCCCACCGAGGCAGCTTCTGCCTCTGTCATGATCAAGTTGGTGAAGAAGGAAGTGTCCTCTACTACTGCTGGCTCTTATGTCACCATGTCTATACCACCCTACACCAACAAAAGAGCCCTTGACTTGCCTGTCAATAGTCACAGAGCTAGAGTGTGGACCCTGGGCCCTCTGTTAGAGTTCCCACATGTCTCCACAAGGTGCTGGTTAGCAGAAGTAGGAGAGCGCAGCTTCCACCTCGATGTCCACTTCCAGATTTGGAATGTCCTGGGTGTCTGCTAGGCCGAAGTGAGGTCTCATTTGGAAGCTAAGCTGCAGAGTGCCCTGGGAAATAAGACCATTTACCTTGTCAGCCTCTGCAGGTCCAAACAGTGGCTCTGAAGGAGTTGGGGTGGATGAGAGTGAACCAGCCTGCGGATTCTACCACAAGGGCTACATGGTGGGGAGGGGTGTGTGCAGGAGAGCATTTTGGGGAGAGAAACGGAGAAGGGGCTAAAGACAACCTCGACTGATCTCATAGCTCTGCTCAGAGCTGGTCCTGGTTGTTAAGATGAGGCATTTTAGGAATGCCACATCAGGGAGACACAATGGCTTTCTCTGGGCAGTGGTTTTGAGGTCTGTGTATGAACTTTCCTGAGTAAATAAACAGCCTCCTTCCCCTACATCTCTGACGTTTATGGTGGGGTGGTTTAGTTCCTTCCTTACCAGAAGAGCAAAGATGTTCAGACTCATGTGCAACTGGATGGCCTTCCTTCAGGCTCATGTCCACTGGGCTGAGAAAGCACTCTCATGACAGTTGCTGAAAAGGGAAGCTTCAGATGCATCCCAGGGATGTGTGGCCCTTCTGTCTACCAGGTAAATCACTATTTCCCTGATGAGAAGACCCCAAATGAGGGCTCAAGGTTGTTCACTTTGGATCATGGCAACTCCTGGGTTTTGGAGGCAGGCAGTCCATGGCACTATCCCGCCACCTTCTTTTTAATATTCCATCCAGCAGACACCTTAAGCTTTAATAAACATCTTCTCTTTTAATAGCATTGACTCCAAGCTAATAAGGCAACTAGCGAATCAAGTGATGGTAAATTTCTCATTAACAATTTATTTAAGTTTGTAGAAGAGAGCAATTCCAACTTCTGCTAATTGAGTTTGTAACAAAAAGATGAATCCATTTTACTACCACCCTCAGGACCTCAATCAAACCCCAGGAAAGGTAAAGTCACTGTCATTAGCCGACTAAGAGGTAAAATCCAGGATGGAATGGAAGGTACCAGAACATGGTTAGAGTCCCCAGACTTCAACAGGATTATAAAGCAGAGGCACAGGCCAGCAGTTCAGAGTGTTCTGAATTTTATTGGCCAGAGGAAGAGCCCTTTGACTTGAAGTGAAAGCCCCAAGTAAGACTTTGAAGATGCTGCGCTTTAGGACGTGGGTGACGTGTCCAATTTCTCCCCCTTTATTTAAGATCCCTCCGTGGAATGTGGCAAAGCGTGCTGGGTAGACCTGTATGGGGACTTACCCTTTCTAGCTGATCCAAAGCCTTTCCCACTGGCTCCAGGAGGTGGCTGTCATTTAGGACTTTCATAACGAAGGGCTGAGCGAGACCTCCTAAAGTGACAGCCCTGAGGGCAGAGGGACATGTGGCCTGTCTGTGATCGGCCAGCGCTTGAATTTGAAGGGATTTAATAATTCTTCTTGAAATTCTCGGCTTTTCCCTCAGACTTTCCTCTGGAAGCCTGATTAAATGCGTATTATTTCTTCTTAAGTGATTTTACAGGTCGTTTATTTTGGATTTATGAGCATCAACACATTTTAAAAGGTATTAGCAAGCTCTACTGCTGGATACTTGTTCTCTAAATCATTAACTTTACTCTCTATCAGCATCAGATAATAAGAAATCTTTCAGATATCATTTTTTCTCTCTTCCCATGGATTTGTTCAGGTAACAAGTATTTTTTAAGCACCTTCTGTGTGCTAAGTTCTAGAATATTCCAATGAACAAAACTGGCAAGGTCTTGCCCTCACTACATTGTCGAATTTTTTTTTTTTAAAGCTTGGTAAAGTCTATGTTATTGTGAAACCGGGAGGAATGCATTTGAATTTGAATTTGAATTTGAGTCAGTCTTCTTTTCTCATTCAACACTCCATTCAGTGAATCAAGGTCAAATGGAGAAGCACAAACAGGACATGGTTCCCTTGTGTGTTGACATATGCTGGTGTGTGCTAACATTTAACGTAGGAAGGTGAGGTGAGTTGGGGGAAAGCTACCTCTTTTCCTCTCATTGCCTTCTCCCAAGATACCTGTCCATAGAATTTGAAATTGCCCACTTGTTCTAAGCCTGCAGCACCAAAAGAGAAAATGTCCCCAGTGCTGGCAGAAATCCTTATGCTGCCTGTTTGGGGAGGTGCATCTCAGCTCCTACGCTGCATATAAAATCTTCTCTTTGTCTGTGTCCCATTCACAAGGCTGGGGTGTAAGGTCCTGGGACCAAGGTGGAGTGGGTAAAGGGAATGTGGTTAAAAGTGAATCAATTAAATCTTGATGGAGAAGAGAATCCAAAGGCCCAAACCAGAGCACTGGAACTATCTGGAGAGGTGAGGCAAACAGCAGCAAAAATGCTAGTCACAAGGTCAGGAACAAGGTGGGTCAAGACGAGGGTTCAGAATGGAGGCCATGAGACATGCTGGGCTGGAGGATGTCATTCTGTATTTATCTGAAGCCATGTTTTTACGTGTCGGGGTAAGGCCATGTCAGCTTAAAAGCTCTTGTTGAGGTGGCAGACGTGGAGCCCACTGGAAGTGGTCAGCTGTGCAGCAGCTGGAAGTCTCCTCTCAGAGCAGCCTGTTCACTTCGCCCTTGGCTTGGGGGACCCCTGGATGAAGAAGGATGTGGGTGAACAGTCAAGGATGCCACCACTGTCTGAGGAGAAAACAGGAGTTCATCCAAAGCAAGGAATTCAGTAGCACCCCCAAAGCTTGAGAAGTACCTCCCCACTTATCTCACTTGTTCCTCTCCAGGGCCCCGCACACAGATGGGGAGCTGGAGGGAGGACGGCTCTCCTCACTTGACAGATGATGAAACTGAAACCAGGGAGAGCAAGTGAGTTTAATGTCACATGACTGTGCAGGGTCAGACTTAGGACTTGAGCCCAGATCTCCTCATTTGAGCTGCAATTCTCTTTCCAGGACAATTTACATAGTATTCAAATGATATGTAAAAATAAGCAATCATGAAGTACAGCATTATTTCATTAGAAATGACTGACCCACTGAAACCTGCAATGGCAGCCAAGTCTCTGTGATGCCTTTGGAGACTCTGGCAACCCCCCTGGCCATCTCCTTTTTCCTCTTTCTGGCCTTGATTGGCTCTGGAAGAAATATGTCTCTGAGCATTTACTACATCTGCTCCCCATGACATACAGATTGGCATTCTATCTATGGCCACAGTCCTCAGGGTAATTAAGATTGTGGCGTACCAGGAAACATTTTATTCAGCAAGATTTCACTCATCTGCTTATTTGGTTGCTGAATTATCTGCCAGGAGTAAATCAAAAGGTTTTACTATTCTATTTGCTTGCTTTAGTCAGGAAATCTGAGGGAACTGAGTCCAATTCACTCTTCACATTTCTAATTAAAACGTTTTACATTTCAAGCTTTTTGACAGGAAAAAAAAGACAAGAAACATTGTGTGGAAGGCAGCTTTGAGAAGATACGATTCAATGTGATTGCTTGAGCAAGAAGGGTTAAAAAAGGCTACAACAGAAAAACCTGCTTGTTTTTGCCTGCTTTAAAAAAAACCTCAACTCAAACCATCTCCAAATGTAGCTTAATCCATTTTCAGACTCTATACATTATGCATCAAGATTTTGTACAAAAGGAATTTGAGAGGAGCGTTTGCATGAAACCACTTCAGTGGATTAAATTTGTAGTTCAGCACACTAGACTCAAAAAGTACACAAGCCATTTTGAGAGCCCTGCCTCCTTCCCTTACGTGCAAAGTTCCTACTTCAGGTAAATAACTTTTTAAGAATGGAGTGAATTCCAGCAGCTGTCTAAAAATGTAAGAAAGGATTGGGTCTTCCTTCCACTTAACTTAGCACTGGCTATGGAAACTTGAACAGAAAGCATAGTTGAGAAGTTTGATCTAAGCAGTTCTGTGGATCCTAAGGTTCTTTCATACAAAACCATTCTACCCAAGATGGAAAAAAAACTAAGGGGAAAAGACATTTCCAATAAAAGGAGCTCAAATGGGTACCTCCTTGATAACTGCACACCCCTTCCAGCTTCAGTTCGAAGTGGACTTGCCACTGTGGTTGAACATCTGGATGGAAAGCTCAGAATCAATCACCCAGATGTCTTCACCCAGTGGAAGACAAACATCGCTGCGACCACATCTGGATGTTTGGATGGCCACTGCTATTATTATTTTTCTGTTGTTTAAGTAATGGATTACTGGGGTCTTGGAAACACAGTATCTATTTCCTTTTTCCCCAGAGACCATGCAGCACTGGAAGAACACAATTTATATCTGAAGCACCCCAAAAGCAACTCATTTCTGGGCTGTGAATGAGCGGAGGTCCTAGGTTGATAGGCAACGTCTGGCCCCAAGGCGTCATTACTGCTATAAACCACAGAGGGTCCAAACAATCTAACGAGCATCTGAAAGTTTCTATAGTAACTTTTTTTTTAAGTGTTGAAAAGTTCCTACCAGCATGGCTGGTTGCCTGGGCTACAGTGTTGTGTTGACAGCTCCAGTCCTTTTCCTGGCAGCTGAAGATTAGGACAGTGACCAATGAGAGGGAGGCGTTCTTCTCTGAACTTTCCATTAGGCTGGTGATTCATTTTGAGACCCACATTTTATGAATGCTCTGAATTCAATGCAATGTGGCTGTTGAGGTGTCTACATTCAAATTGGGTTCCATTAACTTTATGGTGTGATTAAATGTCTGAATCATAAGGACTCAGGGTTGAATTTATATGCCTTCTGAAAGCATGTTCAAAGACTGGCAGCTACAAGTGTAATTGGATGTGTGAGATTGGAAGAACAAAACCTAAAAAGATATCAACTCAAATATAACAACGATCTGAGAATCCAAATTTGTGAGTTGGGGTGGGCAGCCATTCTCAGATGTACAGAGTGGAGCTGCTATTCAGCATGCATATTTTTCCTTCAGAATACTTGATTTTTAACATTAGAAGGGCTTGGTGGTCCACCAGTACAGTATTTTTCAAACTTTGAAGTACCTAAGCATTAATTAGGGTACTTGTTAAAGGTGCCAATTTCCAAGACCTGCCTTCTGATTCTGAAGGGCTAGAGTAGGGTCCAGGAATTATAGACCAAATTGGGAGAAACTCTTACATTTGGAGAAGTGATATGCCTCATTTAGGGCCTGGATTGCAGCTGGTGGTGAGATAGCAAGACCCAGAACTAGATCTCTATTTCATTCAGGGATCTTTTATCATCTGCTTAGTTCATTGTCACCCAGATCAACATGTACGACATGGATATTGTCAGGTGTGAAAGCCACATGTACCATGTTACAAAACTAGAGAAAAACATGGGGTGGCAGAGACAGTGAGGGCATGTTGCTTGCTATTTACCAAAAATGAATTCTGATATCTAAAAATTTAAAGTACTTCTGAACACATAGGTGTTAAATGGGAGCTGCACGATGCATCTTCACATATTTGATTCAGTTTTAGGCATTTCCTGACAAAGTCATGTACACAATAATCTCAATCCTGCGTTTCCCAATCTTGATTTCTCTGGCTTCAAATACCCTAAAAATACACAGCGTTCAGAAATGCCAGAATTGATAAAGTTAAAAACTTTGTCATTATTGCTGACAATTTCTACTTCTTTTTTTTTAATTTGTGAATTATTTGTTCAGACCACTTGCAACTTCCTATTGAGTTGTTAGCATTTTCTTGTATTGATATTAAGGAGCTGTGTATATACTAAAGTTATTAACTCCCTGTCACACAATTTTTGTAAATATTTTTCTCAGTTTTTTTCTTTTTATTTATGGTAAATTTTCTTCTACACGAACAGTTCAATATTTTTTTTGCCTGTTCTTTGTGATGTTGTTTCATTAATTTGTTAAAGCCCTCTCCATCACAAGACCAGGAAAAGAGTCACTCATACTTTCTTCTAGCTATTTTGTAGTTTTAATTCAATGCTTTAACTTGTTGGTATACTCTGAAAATGTAACATATAATACATAAACATAAAACATACATTTTTTTGCCAATAATTTTCCCAGCATCATTTCTTGTAGATTACTTTCCCATTGGTTTATCAAATATATCATAAAAATAAATACCCTTTATTGTATACTGAGATACTGTGCTAAGTATTTTTAGTGAATTTAAAATTTTAATGAATACACATTTCATTTGATCCTTACAATTACATTCTAGTATAGATATTTTTATTCCTATTTTATAGATGAGTGAACTGAGGCTTGATAGCTTATAATGCTTAACTACAAAAGGCAGATCTGAGAGAGGATTTCAGGATTAAGTGATTCCAAATTCATAGACTCAGCCACCCAAGTAAATTTCATCATAAAACAAATTCTCAATATTATGTTGTTTTCTGTTCTGTTTCACTAATTTGGCTGTTATTTTTGCTCTAACACATACTTTTAGGTATTTTAGCTTTGTGTTTTAAACCAGAAAGCCTTTTTACCTCTTATTATTTTTTCACTATTCATGTTGACCTCAGACTAATACAAATTGTGAGATTTTCAATGGAATTACACTTCAAATTGTATCTTTACAATATTTAAACTTTGCATCTAGCAAAATGCCCTTTAGGACATTTTTTATATTTTTCTTCACACAAATTCTTTACTTTTTCTTATTTTCACTTTAAGTATTTTGTATGTTTGTTACTATTGTAAAAGATTTTTTTTCCTGGCATATTTTCTAATCATTATTAATTCATTGAAAAATCTAGTTTTTAGTCTTTATTTTTTATCTGACTTCTTAAATATTTTTTAGAATAGATTTTCTCATGGGTTTTCAATGTAATAATCTCATTATCTATAAATAATGATTTTAGCTTTGTGTTAACTACACTTTTAATTTCCCTATGTTGTCTCATTTTAGGGGTAGGAAAAGTGAAACACCAGTGGTGAAAACAGCCAGCCTGTGGGTGTGTCTGCCTTCTCCTCTTCCATCTACAAAACATTTGTGATGTACTTACCCTGTGCCAGGTGCTGTGCTAGACCTTGGAGACAGAGCATGGAACAAGACAGAGACAGACCCTGCCCTCCTAGAGCTATTGCCTGGGCTGGGAGACAGGCATTAAACAAGTACTTATACGATTAATTCATTAATTCCAACCCTTATCTCATTTTCAGCTTTAATGGGAATATATCTCGTGTTTCAATTTAAGCCAATTTGAGATATTCTTTAACCGTCGCCTTCTAAGGCTAGTTTCTAGTTTTTTAAAGTCAGAGTGTCTCTGGAGTTTAAAGAAAAGACTTCTCAACATTGACTTTCTTTTTTTTTTAACCTATTGACAATCCATCTATTTTATAACAATAAACCCAAGGTTCAGGGGGCAATGCAGCATGCCCAGCGTCCCGCAGTTTATTGTGGCAGAATCCTCTGTGGAATCTGGCTTCTAGAAGTCATCTTAGCACATGAGGGCAATGTGTCTACCCAAAGCTATGCACCTGCCATTGTATCCAACTTAGACTGGGAGCTTTTTCAGAACAGGGGCTGTTTCTGGGAAGCATTTTGTGCTTCCCTGGGTCTGAAGAGCACCTGCTGCTTTCTCATGGTTGCTGCTGAAAAGACTCCATACTGGCTCCAGAGAGGACAGTGAAAATGCCCAAGCTTCTGGTGGGTTGGCCAGAAGCTGGCAAAAAAAACAGGCTAGGGTGTTGCATCAATCTATCAGAAGCCATGTTCATTTCTCACTAGTTAAAAAAAAGTTAATGAAATATGGAAGATACAGAAAAGAATTTAAAAATCACCTGCAACCTCACCATCAACAGAGAATTCCCATTATACTTGAATGCTTTTTATTTGTGTATCGTTTTTTCCCACAAAACACATATCATATTTAATGACAGATGTTTTCCTCTAATACTACATCATGAATTTCCCAAGTCTGTAATTACCTCATCTTTTTGTTTATTTCCTCAGTTTAGTCCTGGCCCTTAAGTTTTGCTTTGCAGTGTTCTGGTGATTTATCAGCCTATCTATTTTGAAGTAGTTTTAACAAATAAAGGACCATGTGAGGACACCGTGAATAAAGACACTTCACTGAATCTAAAATGGCCACACTTGGTTGAATGAATGATGACCATGTCATCAAAATTTCAGCAGAAAGGAAATGGTGCTAATAATTCAATCTGAGTCTAGCACCTTAAGAACTGAATATGTTTGGTTTCAAAAATTTCTAGCTATTTTTCATAGACATGTTGGAATGCAGTAGCTTCTTCTATGGCAAACATTTAAAAAACAGCACCTGCACATAGAGGTAATAATCAGTACCATCATCTTTGCAAACAAAGAAAAGATCTCTCTTTGATTTATCTATCTATCTATCATCTATCCATCAAAATTTTGAACTAAAGAATGCTGGAAATGCTAGGACATTTTAAGATATAAAATATTATGGAGGATCAATTGGTGGAGTAGAAATGGCAGTCACTTGCCCAACAGCCATTCTATGCTTTTTTCCTCTTTAAGAGAACGCCAACTTTGTTGTGGCGATTGGGGGGGGCCAATCCCCCACCCCAGCTGGTGAAGCCTGACTCACCTAAGTCAGTCATGACATTTCTATTTCCTTTACCAGTATCTGGTTCAGGACTGATCATGCGATACAATTCTGGCCAAAAGGACACAGGACAAACTCTCCAGGCAAGCTCTGGAAAAGTTTTTTCTTGCTCTTCAAAAGAAATATGAGAGAAGAAAGTACTCCTTTTCTTTGAGTATTTGGTCCTTTTGTGAGGACGTAGTTGTCATCTCGGGATTATGAGGGGACAATTCTTGAGGACAAAAGCCAAGGTGCTGAAGAGGATGCCACAGACAGAAATAATCTGGGTCCTCAGTGGTGCCATCAGGGCTCCTTACCTCTGAACTTCTTTTTTGCTAGATTACGTAGGGTATTTTTGTAATTTTTTAAGCCGTTTTGAGTTTAGGATTTTATTTACTTGTAGCCAGAAGCATTCTGATTCAGGTGGTCACCAATAGCAAGTAAACAACTGGTGATGAGCATGTTTGAGGGAGGGAAAACTAAGTTCTGTTTCTATTTCCAACCCTATCTATGATCTGACTGTGCTGTTTACTGTAACCTATGGACTGTCTACTAGTCAAATCAGAATAATGCTTCTGAAATACACATTAGTCTTTAGAATTGGGTATATTCAATATCAAGTAGCCAACATACCAATATTTGCTCTAGTAAGTGCCTTAGTCAGGTTCTAGAGTAGGCAGTTAGTAAATCATTTTTAGTGAATGAAGGAGTATTTCAGCTGAGGAAATAACCCTGGCCTAAGGGAAAAACTATTAGCAAATTAATAACCTAGAATCTTGTTTATACTTTTCTTATTATATTAGAGGAATCCCAAGCCATCCATAGACATTTTAAAAAATTACTAGCCTCACTTAGAGTAGAAAGTATTTAAGGTGTGGCCTCTCGTGGGAGATTTCCTGAGTGTGCAGTTCATTACACTTGAGAGGTTCAGTCAATTATTTCATAGAATGTCAGTTTAGGAGGAACTGTGGGCTTACATAAACTAAGAGGTAATTACTTTATGCAATGAAACTATACACAAGTCCCTAGTTAATGAATTTGCTAGTTGTTTTCCCAGTTTACAACAGCCACTGACCCCTATGAGACATACTATGTGTGCACAGACACAGAGAGAGAGAATCATTGAGTTAATTACGGCAGGCTAAATTGCTGTGACAGGCAGACCCAGGGCTGAAGTCACACTCAGAAACGAAAGTTTACTTCTTCCTCCTAAGACAGTCTGGATATGTCATCTGGGTTGGTAAATGTCTCCTGTCATGTGTCCTTCAGGAACCCAGGCAGAAGCTGCTCTGTTACCTTGGAATTATTGCTCTCCTCACTGCCATCCAGCCAGCAGTGAGGAGAAGAAGGCATGGAACAGGCGTTGTCTGGTCTTGAGTAATACCCTTTGTGAAGCACATTTCACTTGTGCTCACATTCTACTGGCTTGAACTTAGTCACATGGTCACACTTCCCTGCAAAGGGATCTGGAAAATGGAGACCAGCCATGTGCGTAGGAAGAATGAGAGAATGGATTCTCCTGGACAGCTTCTGACACGTACGTGGTGTCACAGGAAGAGTGCTGGGACCTTGTCCTCCCCGGTCTCTACTCATTTTCCCCATTGCAATTAGAATCCTCTTTGCATAGCTCAAATGTGCTTGTTCTTCGCCAGCCCCCTCCAAGTCTCTGACTCAAACCTTTCAGTAACTTACTGTATTCGGGACAAAGACAAGACACTTTATCCCAACATATAGGCTCTGCATAGTCTAATATCCATTTATTTATTCTTTTTTGATTTTGGAGAATGCCCCTTCTCACTTTCGAGGCTCCAGCCCCCTTTCACATCCTCTACTTTCCATGTTCTCTTCTCACAGGGATTTTGTACTTGCTGTTACCTTTGCTTTGCAATCTCCTCTTTAAAATGGGATTATCTATCACTTTATCCTTCTTTATGAGCATTCATTTTCCCCCTTAGTTTGCAAAATGGCTATATCTGATTATTGTATGTTCTTTAGAAGGGGATGTCATTCCATCAGTGGTTAAATCTGATGGTAGGTACCTTTTCTTTTAATTAATTTTGGGTTTTTTGACCATGATCCTTTAAAATTCACAGACTATTTTTAGAATGGTTTTAGATTTACAGAAAAATTGAGGAGATAGTGCAGAGTTGCTCTACACTATTCTCCTTTCCCTTATTATTACTAATTATTACTATTATCACTATTCTTACATTTGTAGAGTACATTTTGTACAATTAACAAGCCAATATTGATATATTTTACTAACTGAAGTTCAGAGTTTATTCGTATTTCTTTAGCTTCCCTTTTTCTGTTCCAAAATTACATCCTGAATTCCAACATGAGTTGTCTTGGCTCCTGAAGCTCCTCTTGGCTGTGACATTTTATCACACTTCCCTTATTTTTGGTGACCTTCACAGTTTTGAGGAATCTGACATGGAATATTGTGGAATGCTCCTCTATTGGAATTTACCTGATGCTTTTCTCATTAGATTGAGATGAGGATTTTCTGAGAGGAAGGCCGCAGAGGTGAATTTCACCATCTCATATCTCATGTATATGCCGTCAACATGCCTTGTAAGTATTGATGCTGACCTCCATCATCTGTCAGAAGTAGTCTCTGCCAGGTTTCTTAAATTTGCATAGAGCTACTCCTTCCCCCCACCTTTCCATACTGTATTCTTTGGAAAGAAGTCGCTACGCACAGCCCATGTTGAGTGGGAATTGTGTTCCTCCTCTTCTGGAGTGGAGTATCTATGTGATTTATTTGGAATTCTTCTGCCAGGGAGATTTGGACCAAGATTCTTTTAAGAAGGTGAGCTTATTTGGGCTTGGAGATTATCCTGACAGGCATTTTACAGCTATAATTTTGCATATTAAGAAACAGGACCATGTGATTGTGCCAATGTGACGGAGTAGAAAAAGCACAGGATTAGGAATATGAGGGCCTGAAGTTGCAAACCAACCTTGTTAAGTCCCAGGGGTGAGACCTTGGGTACACCCCTCTCCCCTGAGAGCTGCTTTGAATGCTTAAAAGTTCTACTGGGTGAAGTCACTTTGCTGGGTATCCATCCTCATTGCCTGAAACAAAAGTCCCAAGCATGTGACCCATGACTGGTTCCTAGCTCAAAAGTCACTTATTCCAAGAAGAGTTCTTGGAGCACTGCAGGTAAAGCAGCTCTCCCACATCCCAGAAACTTCTATCCCAGGCTTTACTGGCATCATTAATTGTTGTCTAAGAACACCCTGCTTACTCACGTTTTATCATCTGCCTGTAGATTAAAAACTTTTGTCAGTTCCATGAACTCCACGAAGTCAAGGATCTTTTCGGTTTATTTCATACCACTACCTAGAAAGTGCCCTGAATAAATAACAGGTTAGATTAAAACAAATAAACAACAAAAAAAAGCCAAAATAACCATTGGAGACAGCTGCACTCAACATCCTCTGAAGCTAAAAATTAAATAAAGTAACACAAAGCTCTTTGGCAGCTCTGACAAAAAATGATGAACCAATCTCCACTGTTGGTACATTCATGAACAAGGGAAGGCTCCTAAAAGCAAAAAAATTTTAGTATTCTCTCTTTGTTTTGAATTTGAATTCCAACAAGATAGTACTATGTTGATTTAGATTCCTTTTTGTTTAGGATACTTAAATTAATAGGTACTTTGGCTGCCACAAAGAGGTCCTGACTTCTCTTATTTAACAAATCAATGTCCAGAAAAAAAAGACTCTGATGTCCAGAAGAGGGACGTCTTTCCGAGGCTCTGAAATTTGAGATGTCACAAGTACTTCTCCTCTACAATTGTTGGGAAAAGGAGCACGCTTATTCTCTGGAGGAACTGAAGCATAATGAAATGCAATCTAAGAACATGCAAACTTATTATCTACCAGGATGGTTCAGTGGTTCCAATCAAATGGAGGATAGAAATAGGGGCTTTATATTCGGATTTTGGAAAAATGATTCCGCAGTTATATTTAGATGCAACAGTGCCTGCAAATACCTGAAATAGTGACAGTCTGTGGCTTGATTATAACATAGTAAATATATCTTCTCTTTGAAACTTATCATGGGGTGAGGACAAAAGCACCCCAAATTATTCCTGCAGTGGAAAAAAACTATCTTACTGTGGATGATAAGAGAAAGGTCATTACTTTCTAAATGAGAGGTTGTTATTGTTTTTCAACTGGCTCTTCAGAGGGCTGCCTTTGTGCCAAAGACTGCTTAGAGTAGGTGGACCCTATGACTTTAAAAAAGTCAAAAATTTTCTTTATTTCTCCCACTCTCAGAAATTGCTAAGAAGTAGAGCTGTAGCATCATGAGCAGTAGGAATTCTTTTATGAGAATACTCTCTTTTCCATGTGTATAGAAGTCCTGGCACCAGGGAGATGACCTTTTTAAAAATACTGATCTGATGTCACTTGCTACTTAAAACTTATAAACAAATTCCCATTACTTTTAGGTTAAAAATAACAATCTGTAATGTGGGCTGTGGGACCCCGAGAGAGCGCTGGCTGTGCAAATGTTCAGCCTCATCTTGTGTCCCAGGGACTTTGCACATGCTTCTCTCTCTACCTGAAACCCATCTTCCTCCACCTTCTGTAGTTAAGTTCTATCTACCTCTCAGATCACAGCCCAAGTGTCAAAATCTGTGGAAGCTTCCCTGACCTCCCAGGCTAGCTCCAGCTCCTTTGTTCAATAATGTCATAATTGCCTGAAGTTTGTCTTTATCAGAGTTAGTATTAGCTGTATACCCCTACTGGGTTATTAGGGCAGAGACCATGTCTGTTTGGCTCATTACAAATGCTCTGGCAAATAATAGGTACTCAGTGAATAGATAGCATGTAAATGAATAAATGAATGGAGCTGGGTTATATATTTTATCCTTGCAGAAATTTTCTAAATACTAATAAGCTTACAATATAAATGAGTTTGTCTCTGTATTATAATTTAAAACAAAAAGAAAGGTCAGTTTTCACTTTGTTTCATACTGACTTCACAGAGATAACTAGATGAAGATAAAGGGTAAGTATGTGGGTTTTGTAATCATACAGGCCTACGTTCAAAACCCGGTTCTACCACTTACCAGCTGTGTAATCATGGGAAGATTACTTAAAATTTGTCTATGTTCCAGCTTCCTCATCTACAAAATAGGTCAGACCGGGATTCCAAGCCCTGATCCATCAATTATTAATTGTGCAATCTGGTTCAAGTTAAGAATCTCTCTAAACTTCAGGCTCTATAACTATTAATTGATTCCAGTAATAGCTATCTGTCTATCTCTTAGGGTTATTAGAGGATTAAATACACACAGACACATAAATATTTAAATTTGTTTATAAACATATGGAAGGTGCTCAGACCATGTGGAGTAAAACAATAAAAGCAAATTAAAACAATAATGTGACAGAATTTTCTAACAGAATACCAAAGATAAAAAAATTGGCCAAAGTATCTGTTAGTAATGATGTAGAGAAAAAGTTATTCTCATACACTGTTGGGGCAATATCTTTGGAAGGCACTTTGACAATATCTATCAAAACTGGAATGCAAATAAAATTTGACCTAGGAATTTCCCTCTCTAGGAATTCACCTTTTAGGTATAATCATACATGTTCATATAGATGGCAATGCAACATTGTGACAGCAAGTACTGAGAACAATAAAAAGTTCTTCACAGGACTAGTTAAAAAGGTAGTGAATGGCTAAAATGAAATACTACATGGTTACTAAAAAGTACAAATGGAGAATTATTTTAAGACATGATTGATGAAAAAAAGCAATGTAAAGAACAATGCAAATTGTGTTCAAAGTAAAAGACCACTTTCCCTTCAAAAAATTAAGAAGAAAAAAAGAAAAAAACACTTTATGTAAGCACCCAATTGTTTAAACTGGCAAAAAAGACTTTTTTTAAAGACTTATTATAAGCTGTGGTTGTCTTATGAGAAGAGAAATGAGGGGACTTAGCTAGGGTGAAACTTACTTTTCATTGTCTACACTTTTTTTTTTTGGTAACAGAGTGCATATATGCTTTTATCAACTCAAAATTAATTTAAAAGAGCAGAGACTGTAATTAACATTTGTAGCTGCTGCTCCAATGATCATCCTTCCTCCTGTCACTGTTAGATGTCACAGTCAGGCTGCCACAGGGATCCCTGGGCTGCTCCAGCATGAAAGATGTAAGACAACAGGGTGGCAAAGTGGTTACCGTGGGAGGACTCATTGATCCACAAGTTTCAGTGGAGAGACAGAGGGCTGGGGATTCTGCCAAAGAGGCTGATCAAAAAACTGGGCAGCGGGTATTAGGAATGGGCAGTAGGTTCGGAGGTATCTTAAGAGGTAAATAGAAATCAAATCTTACAACAAACATCCCTTAATATAAATTTATTGGATTCTCATAACTGCCTCAAAAATAAGTATTATCCTCATTTAATAGATGACCAAGTCGAAGGTGAGCAGCCTGTCTGTCCAAATTCACCCACTAGCCAATGGTGAAGCCACAATCAGACCCTAGGGCTCTTACTCCAGAGGCAGGCTTGAGGCATGCTTACAGTGTATTGTTTTTGTGTAGTTTTTAGGGATCCTACTGCTATTTTAAAATTTAGTTTTAGACTCTTGGTACCCTGGCTCAAAATAAACACTCTATCCATGCCAGCGACTGCATTTGAAGCTGTATTTGATGATTTCTAGAAGCTCCTGTATTCCCTATTTGCAATTTCTCTAAGTTTTACCTGTTTTCCTGGAAAAAGACTCCTTCACAACATTAAGACTTGTGAGCTCTCCTGTTGATCTCCTGTGGCCATCGACACTTTCGATTAGGAAGGACAGCTCAAGGAAGAAACATCTCAGCACGAGATCTCCAGGTCTTCCAGACTTGGAACTGCAATGATGATAGACATGGTTTCATCTTAAGCACTTCTCTTAAGTTTGGTGATCAGCATAGTTAGAAAATTACCAAATGCCATCGGATTTGTCTCTGCCCCAAATGAATACATTTTGGGCAATCCTTTTGGTACTGATGGAGCAAGTGAGGTTATAGCCCAAGGTCAGAGTACGGACAGAACATATTCAGCTAAGTGCCACCCAGGTGCAAATACATCTGGTTCCAGTATAACCTGGAAACTTCTTGAAGGAATGGTCCCCTCCTAGCAATGTTCTCCATTCTAGAATATTCTGTTTGTAAAGGGCCTAGCTAGTAATTAATTTGTCCAACTAGGGACAATCAATTGGCGAATAGATATTTTCTTTTGAAATTATACTTTAATAAAGGTATTTAAAGGCTTGAGATGCTTTCAATTATTCTACTGCAATATAATGGTTAATTTTAAGAGCTCTGTGAGTTTGATTTGTATGTAAGATTTTTACAATCTATATATAGGTTGGTCTTTAATAACCATTTATACATTGCTTCTTTTTATATAGGTCATGTATTCTCCGGGGAGAGTAACAAGATTAGAAATAACAAATACAGTGCAGAATAAATTAACGTGCTTCAAACTGCATTATATAATTTCAGAAAATTGGTTTCACACTGAAACGTTTAAATAAGAAAACCAAATGATTTAAGGAGGAAAAAACTCCTAGTATATTCTTTTGAATTGCTGTTGTTTAGCAAGTTTTGTCCTCAGCAGTGTGGTGGTGGTCTCTGTTCACAAGGCTTCAGGAATGGGGCAGTTCATTTGGGTCAACATGGATAAAATTATTATTATTTTTCTTTATTTAAAAAGTTGGCTTCACTCTGTTTGAGGACGAAGAGCATTTTATTAGTCAACATGTCAAAGAAGTATTGTAAAAGTAATTGTATTTTTATATATAATTCTCCAAACTCTTACATACAAAACGTTCTTATTACACATGGTGCTATAAATTCAGAGGCTGGGAGAGGGCAGAGATAGCAAAAGTGGGGCCAATACTTTTCTAATTAGTTAGGCTAATAAAAAGTGGGGCTCGGTTCTCATCTCCCAACTAAACGAAGGAGACTCGGTGCTCTAGAGAGCCTATTATTCCGGTTGGGTTTGTTTGTTTCTGTGAAGTTTAGCATCCCTCTCCTTGTTTCGAGTCCTCAGGCCTTTTTCAATTTTTCTATTCGTGCATTAAAGGCCTCTTCCTGTATTTGCAGCTTTTCGTTTATCTCGGTCTGTGAAGACAATCATAAAAATGTGGTTATGATGGAGCTATCTTTTGCTGCACATTGTCTTTGTGGTTTTGACATACTATAGTGCCTAAAGACAGACATTATCCCTCACACACCTTCCTGTTTTGCAGACAGAGCCGTGTTTCAGCCTGGAGTGATGTGATAACACTTTATCATATTTCTCTGCACATTCCCCATGTATAGCATGTCTGCTATGAACAGGAAGTGGTATTTGGACAGCCATTTTTCACATAGCCTTGTGTTGGAAGATAGGCTAATTTATCTGTATTTTCAGACAGACTTTACCAATAAGCACCGAATCAGAATAACTGCTCTAGGCTCAGCCACTGCAGTGTTGTTGGTATCCCCACTCCTTTGCAATGGATGCTTTGTCTCCTATGTAATACAGTCTAAGTGGGACCCCAGAAAGCATCTATTGTGAAATAATAACACAGATAATCTCACCATTAGAACAATTCTCATGATTAAGAGTATTCATCACACATACAACTCCTGGAATTACGTCACTTTGTGGTACAGTTTGGGTAGAAAAATGCAAGCAGTTGCTGACAAGTTTTACTGTTTGCTGTGGCTGTGATAGCGTTTAGCCTCTGGCAGTGACATTCTGCGGACTAACACTGCTACCTGCACAACTGCAAAAATATTTTCCCATTATCTGAACACTTGTAACCCTGGGAATGTCTTCCTTTTTTTAGGAAGGATTATAAAATTATGTACAGAGAAACCAGTGGGGGGGAAACGTGGTCAAACTGGTGATTTGGTTTAGGTGATTTAAAATTATCTACAAGTGTATGAGGATTAGTTCATACACATAAATGTTCATAAGTAATTCGAAGTTTAGAATGTTATTGTCTATAACATAATTTGGGGTCTTTATGGTAACTGTATTTTGAGAAATTTAATTTATACAGGAGAATATTTTAGAAAATCACATACCATTTTTGGTTCAGAAATAATTTCATTCTTACTTTTTATTTATTTATTATTTATATTAATTTTATTTATTTGTTATTATTTTGTTTATATTTAACATTATTTATTTGTCTTATTTATAAATTTAATGATAATAGATAGTTTTGAAAGGTCTATCTAGCTGCCTTATCTGATGGGATTTTGTTTTACTTTCACAGTTAAGAGTTGATATTTCTAAAAAGATCGTATTGGTGTCTACGATTCTGGGTTCTCACATGGCTCAAATTTTTTTGGCTCACATTTTTATCAAGCCCTGGAGTCAAGTCTGGTCTCTGGCTTCTCATCTTTTCCTTTCTTGGTGGTTGGATGAAGGAGGCAGTGTGGGATGAACATGGTCTTCCAGGTTAGAGAAGAAGTCTGCCATGTTTTAGGAACCACTAATCCCCTCAGGCATGATTTTGGTAGAGCTGAAAGGCCCCTTGGCCCTGTCTAAGCAACAGGATAAAATAATGTGAAAGTCCGCAATGTGGAGACCTAGAGATTAGTTTAGCTGTGCAGCCTTGGGCAAGTCACTTAACCACTTTTAGTTCTTACCTGAAAAATTCAGCAGTTGAAAATTAAGTATGTTAACTTTCAGATATGTTATTTGGCTTTTAAGTTCATAATTCCAACTCCTAACTTTGTGATATATTCACCAATGTTACACTATTTCACTGACATGACATTGTGATACATTTAACAAATGTTACTCCTGCTTCTTTATGGCATGCAACGTATTACACCACTTAGAGAGTGAAATGGATTGAAGAAATAATCTCATTACAATTACAAAGAATTGGGAAGCACTGCTCTAACTAAACAACTGATTCTTCCCACTTTTAATTAACATATTCTATGTCCACCAATAATCTCATTTCTTTTCAACTCAGGACAGACGTACTATCATCTTCCAACTTCCGTTCCACTGTTTCACCATACTGTTCACACTAACCTGGAGGTCTTTCTGGGATTTCACTGAAACAGAATTAATTCATCAACACCAGCGTGGCCTCTGGGGCAAAGGTTCATGAAGGTACAGTGCATGGTCACTAGAGCGGTGTACTGACAGAGGGAGTTACATCTCAGATCTCCAGACCATGGTGGTCAGTACTCGTACTCCAGTTCAGGAACTGGAGAAAAGACTCCCCATCTGGTCCAGAACAGGCTGTCATTGGTCTGTCACATCTCCATATTATTCCTCAGAACATTGAACAGCCCTGCTATCCCACTGCCACTAGGGTAGGGTATGGTTCTATATCCTTTGAGGAAAGAATGGAAGACCCATGACCTGGGTTCAACAGCCTCTCAGTAATCACCCCTTAAGGTGATTTCCAACTTAACTTTTCTAACCTGGAAATTCAAGTTGACCTAAAAATACCAATGGTACCAGGATGGCAAACTTCCCTCAAGGTTTTCACAGTATTTTATCCTGTTGCTTAGACAGGGCCAAGAG